ACGTTCTCGACAAACGTTCTGATGATCGGGTTAGGTGCTGGCCCTGGGTCCATCTGCTTTGGCACCGATAAACACTCACAGGCCGTATACGATACATATATGGAGAGATTGGGAAAGTCTCCCCATACTGATTGGACCGACGTTTCTACTACCCAGCTCAAGTCCGCCAATTTTCCTATATACATTACCCATCAGCAACCTGGAGACTTGGTAATATTTCCTTCAGCTACTGCCCATCAAATTTGGAATATCAGTCCGATGGTTACAAAGGTAGTCTGGAATGTTATGCATAGCTCTTCGCTTGTCTCTTTCTTTGACTACATCCAGCCATTCTACCAGCGATACTGCCATGCAGACACTGGCCGAGTCCCTCTAATCCCGTTACATGCCTTGATCCGAGGGTCTCTAGGAACTGAGGACGAAGCTCTTCTCCTGGATGTCTTTCTCAAACTGCTGGATGATGAAGCTATTGAGACTGACTCGGTCCCTCCAATGAAGACTGTGGATACCCAGGGGGCCGTGGTAGAATGTAATTTCTGCGGCTTGACAATATGGAATCGGCATCTGCACTGCGAGCAGTGCGGCGACTTTGACTTATGTCTGACGTGCTTTATCTCTGGACGCAGCTGCAAACACGTTGCTGACTATACGTGGGCCGAACTCATTCCGCGTGCCTACTGCATGGAGGTTATTCAGTCGACTCGGAACAGACTGCGTGATCGATTACTCTCCCGAATCAAACATCCAAAGTATGACCTTTCCCTTCAAGCATACGGGCCCTATCACTCTCAGAACCTGTGCCTTGGTCCGGTGTCAAGAGTCCTATGATAAATCATGTGATCAAGAGTGTGACTCTAATTCTACCTTTTCCAGGCAAAAGTCTCTGGGCGCCTTGGCTGCTGCCGCGGCAGATGCACGGAAACAACCGATGATGGTACGGAATAACCCCAGTATCTCTGTTTAGCTTGGCATTGAAGGAGCGCGAACTAAATAAATCAGGAGCGACTCTGTCACTTGTGCCGTGATAGTCATCCTGCCTGGAAAGGGGTGGCATGTACCCAATGCTCCGCATTCTTTTGCTTCCGGGGCCTCCATCGACACTTTGACGTGGATTTGATACCCTTTCTGAGGAACACAGATCCATGGGTATGTCCAAAGTGCTCCCATTTCTGTAATTGCCGATGCTGCCACTTCCCTCTTCCTTACTCTAGCAAAGACAAGCCTGTGCGGTCTCGGATTAAGTCGATTGATCCTCGCGGTCGAATCATGGGGTTCACCGACAACGTATTCGATCAAAAACGAGGCAAAAGAGCTAGTATGGCTACTCATAGCGCATCCCTCCCGCCTGAAGTGCCTTCCCGGGTACATAAACGACCGAGAACCCAGGTTAGTGATGAAGAGGCGGAACTACCACGACAGCAGGAAGAATATAGTACTTTCACAAATCGTGGTATGATACAGCCGCAAAGTACAGAGGATACTATACACTCTGCTGCTCGCCCCTATGTCATGTCCTCACGGAGTATAGGCCCGAAAGGGCAGCTCCGTATCAGTGATCTCGTTGAGGAACATAGCCCTGCTGAAGCTGAGCCTTCCTTTCAGGCTCCCTTCAGGCATGCATCTCCTCTACTTTCCCTGACGCCAGGAGATGGCGCATTCCGACGGCCGACCAATGAGCCGAGTGTTCCAGCCACTACAGATGAAGCCAGTATCTCTTCTCTTGAAAGGAAATTGGAAGAGCTCCGTCGATATGCCGATGAACTTCTGGATCTTTCCCTGGTGGACTCACATGCGAAGGTTCAGGAGAAAATCAGTCAGTTGCAGGGCCAGATCGAAGAGCGCAAGCGACGGAAAGCGGAGGCGCTGTTCGACAGCCTCGATCGGGATTTCCCAGAACTTGCCACCGTTGCGAGAGAGGAAGCGCGAAGACGAGGATTGTAAATCGGGATCTAGCTTATATATAGAGTACTAATGGGCGTGAAGAGCACCGCCGATAAACACTCGTCCGCTGGTCCAAAACAAAACAAGGAAGTTAGTAGTTGTTGTAGGCTAGGAGTGTAGGTAAAAGGCAGGATGTATAAAACCCTGAGACATCCCTGAGAAAGACCAGGAAGTACCCCTGTAAGAAGAGATCTTCAGCAAATAACAAAAGTTCACCAATGACTCGCAGACACATTGAATTTTGGGCTGCGTGAGTGAGGCCCCTGGAAGGAAGAGGACAAGGCGCCCGACACCAGAGCAGCGGAAGCGATCCAGGGAAGCAGGCGGAGTTCCAGCCGGCGTCGATCGTCACCTCCACTTCTCCCTCGTCCTCCCACATCACTCCGGACTTTCCCTCCCTTTCTTCCATCCCGGATTCAGTCCAGTCTTGCTCCTCGTATCTTGATCGGCTCGAAAGCTTGTCTTGACTGCTCTTACTGCAGCAATCAACCCTCCTCTTTTTGTTGCCTTACTTCCTTTTTGTTGAACCTAGCCTGGTATGTTTCATGTTTGTTAGCTCATTGTTGGCGCCCTCTAGCAACGCTTCCCCTCCCTCTCACTCTGCGCAACTGGCGGGCCTACCTAGATTTCGCGCAGACGAAGGGACCCGTCGATTGACTCACTCCGGCGAACACATTGCTTTCTTGGAATTGACAAGCCCCATAGGCCTCGTCCTTGGCCGTGAATCGGTCATCCCACCCCCCGACGAGGGCTGTCGGTAGCAGGCCAAACACACTACGAACCCTGACCGCCTCCACCACCCACAACTAGCTCTCCTAGGGACGATTCCACGCACTCTCGCCCTCCCTCTCTTGCCCCTCCGTTCTTTCACTTCCAGCTGGGTGAAACGCTAGCTTCGAATTTACTTACACAACACCTCTCATCGCCGCGATCCGCATCCCTGCCCCGCCATGCCCTGTTTCAAGGGTCTCGCCGTGAGTATACACACTCCGGACGGACCTATCTCCGAATACTCCATTCAACGCCAGTCCCGGGCGTCTCGCATAGCTTGCTACATCCCCGTGCCACCACCCAAGATCCCTGAATCCGGATCCGGACGCCCTGAGCAGTCAACGTTCGCTATCTCCATCACCCTTCTCAACCCCGGCCAAGACGTCCCATACTCCGCCCCGAAACCGACCCCCGACAACCCCGCACCCAAGCCGAAGGTAGTTGGTGGGCTACCCGGGACTACCGGGGAGCGTGGCCAGTACAGCAGCACGGTTGCTCCGTACCAAGCATTGACTAATTCGCCAAATGAAACGGTCGCCGCCTATATCTACTTTGATGGCCGGGCGAAGGAGGAAGTGGCCACACTGCTGCGGAGAGGTGAAGAAACGTGGGTCAACTCTCGATGGGTTAGCGTACCGGTATCAGAGGGCGGAGGTCTCGCTGAACGGGAGTTTCTCTTCCGCGAAGTCGGATTAGAAAGATGGCTGAACGGCTTGGACTTGGAGGGTAAAGACGCTGCCGCCAAGATCGAGCGCCGACGACAAAAAATGGAGAAGCGCCGAATCAAGCGGGAAGCAACTGGAGATCTGGAGATGGACGCAAAGTCGGGCAAAGGAGTCATGCGCTATGGCAACGATGCAAAGTCCCCGCTAGAAGATGTTTCGGACGACGACATGTCGTTCTCCGATTCGGACGATGACCCGATCCCCGAGTCTGCGGGTCAGATCAAGGTGGCTTTGTTCCGTGTCCTGGCATCTGGGGAGATTAAGCGCGGAGAGTACTCACCACAGTTCGATGCTCATGACGATGATGACGAAGCCCAGGGCGAGAATGGACATAAAGGGGCAGCTGATGCGGACATTGATCACACAACGAGCTTTGCGAAGCCAAAGACGCTCGACCCCAAGACGATTAGCACGCAGACCGTGACAGGCATTGACCCATCCGACAAACCTTACGCCACCTTCACATTCATGTACCGTGGCGAGCGTGAGTTTAACCCCTCTGGTTTTCTGTAGAGTTATCGACTGACTAGGACACAGGTCAATTGCAAAAGATGGGAATTCTGAGAGACCCCAAGGCGCAAGAAACTCCCGGATCCGCAAAGCGTCGGTCCTTGCAGCCAGACTTCGCCAATCTCGGTCCCCTGAAACCAGGCGGCACGGTTGGATTTGTGAACTTCCGCGACAGCACAGAAAGAAAGAAAGGCAAGAAGTCTGGTGAGGATGACGAGATGGACAGTGAAGACGATGAAGACAATTCGATTCTCGGTAAAGCAGATGAAGAGGAGGGCAAAGAAGATGATCTTCATTTGTCTCCGGATGATATCCGACGGCAAGGGGAGCTCGCGGAAAGCATACGCAAAATAAAGGTACGTCAAGAACTGTTACTAGTGTCTCTACCACCGGCTAATTGTTGTACACAGCTTAAACGTCAGCATTCGTCTGCCTCGTTAGCTACGAATACACCTCCGGCCGAAAGTGCGAGCCCCAAGACAGCCGGGGACACGCCTGCGACCAACGATCCGTCTACTACTCCGCCCGCTGTTGCTGCGGCTACGGCCGCTGAAACCCCCAAGCCAGCCGCTAACCCGCTGAACGGAGGATTCATCGGCAGTCCATTGAAGAAGCAGCGGGCGAGCGTCTCACATTCAGATGAAGACGCCATGCGCCGACGAATGGAGTCGGGACTTTCCCAAGAGATTACAAATGTTGGCCCAGGTGACAGTACCAAGGCAACCAACCCTCTTGAGACACACCCGCAAAAACCCCAGGAGACCGAAGACGAGGAACTGTAACCGGTTGCTTCAACTCCCATCATCCATGCCCATATTCAGCGATACAGATGTCTACCCACAATTTCTTTTCATCCTCCTCTTTCTTTTTCTTCACCTCAGACGCCACGATGGACTGGTGCGAGACGGCGCGCTAGCCTGCTGCGTCAGACCGCAGCACCATCTGCACTCTGATTTGATCTTTTTTCAATTCTTATTTACCATTCTAACTACAGCTGACATCTACTGTTTGGATATGGTCCATTTCTGACGAAATTATCATGACTAAGTAGTTTTACCCTTCACTTTCATATCCCATCTCTCTCAGTTCTGTGGGCGGCTGGGTAATTGATTCTCTAGCTAGAACGGGGGACAGGCGAAGGTAACTGATATAGACGCAATGAGTCACGCAAGTTGCATTTAACGATTTATGCTACGTTCTTGGATCCCGTTTGTACCTGTAAAGCCTAATGAAGGAGACGTAGGCTGTAGTCGGCGCTTGAATGGCAGCCATGGCGTGGATTACGCTGCTGTGGGAGCTCCCTACCGTGGTCCGTTTCGAGTGGAGAGCCGCTCCCCGCCGACCAAAAATCTTTCCCTCCCTCATGTTGAGACCAATACCACCTCATGCCAACACCTGCATTCAATTCTTGCTGATTGTCTGAAGGAGTCCCAGGAGATATTTTACTTACCGCTTCCAAGAGCCATGCCATTGACACGTTCCTCCGATCCCCTGGTGTGGATCGATTGCGAGGTGCGGCATTCCTGTGCTTCTACCCCTCTACCAGCCGCGACTGACGAACTCCAACATTTCGATCGGCGTGTAGATGACCGGCCTTGACCCGGACACCGACCAGATCCTCCAAATCTGCTGCTACATCACCGATGCCAACCTCAACCTCCTCGAACCCCAGGGCTTCGAAACCGTCATCCACCACCCGACCTCAGTCCTAGAAAACATGAACGCATGGTGCATCGAGACCCACGGTCGCACAGGGCTGACGGCGGTCGTGCAGGCCTCGACCACCACCGCGGAGGAGGCTGCGACGGCTCTTTTGGCCTATATTCAGAAATACGTGCCACAGCCCCGGCGAGGACTGCTGGCAGGGAACAGTGTCCACGCCGACAAGGCGTTTCTGGCCAAGGGACCATACCAGGCGGTGCTAGAATGGCTACACTATCGGATCGTGGACGTGAGTGCACTCAAGGAAATGGTACGACGGTGGGGCTCAGACGAGCTACTAGAGTCCGTGCCAGGGAAGAAGGAGGTTCATCTTGCACGGGACGACATTCTGGAAAGCATCGAGGAGATGCGATTCTACCGGGGGCAACTGTTCGGATTGTAGCCGAATATGTCTGAGCGAGGGAACGGACCCGGGGAGCTCTTCCCAAAAATCCCAACGTACACGAAAGCAAGCATAGAGAGGGGTAGAACCCCAATTACAATGTAGAACAGCTGGATGGATGCCCAATGGATCCGGGATTGCAGCAAGAATGGCCGGTTTTTCCCAGGTATCTGCAGCTCGAGTGTCGTAGTGTACAGTGTATCGCGATGGGGGGATCGAATGAAGCTCTGGCCTGAAGTCATCATGCTGACATGGGCCCCTCCTGGTGGGGTCCTGGCGTTGGGCGAAGACTCGCAAAGTCGAAGCTAATTGCCAGTCTATATTTACTTCCTCCCCGCTCGTGTCTCGCCGGCTTCCCTTCCATTCTTTGCCCCTCCCTTCTCCCTGCTCCTTTTCCTCCCCCTGTTTCTCTCGCTTCAATTGTCGGTGAGCTTCTCCTCCCGACGTTTCTATATCTTCCCGTCCATACCCCTCCAGCTTCCCCTCCCCTCCCTCTTTCTTTCTATCCATACCATCTCTATACCCCCCCTCCCCACCATGTCCGTTCAAACCGTCTCCATCACTCCCTTCACCGACCAGAAGCCGGGAACGTAAGTAACCTTGATTGTCTTTCCTTGCTTCCATGTCCTCTGCCTTTTAAGTTATAAGTTGTCCTTTTATCTGACGACACCCAGCTCCGGTCTTCGTAAGAAGGTCAAGGTCTTCCAGCAGCCCAACTACTCCGAGTCCTTCGTCACTAGCATCATCCTCTCTATCCCCGAGGGTGCTGAGGGCGCTTTCCTCGTCATCGGTGGCGATGGCCGCTACTACAACACCGAGGTCATTCAGAAGATTGCCAAAATCGGTGCCGCTTATGGTGTCAAGAAGCTGCTGGTCGGCCAGAATGGCATCCTCTCCACCCCCGCTGCCAGCAACCTCATCCGCAAGCGCAAGGCCACCGGTGGTATCCTCCTGACGGCCAGTCACAACCCTGGTGGTACGTAATCCAGCAATCAGGCACATGGACCCCACACTGACATTATGCTGCTACTCAGGCCCTGAGAACGACTTCGGTATCAAGTACAACCTTGCCAATGGCGCTCCCGCCCCCGAATCCGTCACCAACAAGATCTTCGAAACCTCCAAGTCCCTCACTTCCTACAAGTACATTGATATCCCCGATGTTGACACCACTACCATCGGCTCCAAGACCTACGGCCCCATCGAGGTTGAGGTCGTCCACTCCACCACCGACTACGTCACCATGATGAAGGAGATCTTCGACTTCGACCTCATCCGCGATTTCCTCAAGACCCACAAGGACTTCAAGGTGCTGTTCGATGGTATGCACGGTGTCACTGGCCCCTACGGTGTTGACATCTTCGTCAACGAGCTGGGTCTGCCCGCCAGCAGCACCATGAACTGCGAGCCCAAGCCCGACTTCGGCGGTGGCCACCCCGACCCCAACCTGGTCTACGCCCACGAGCTCGTCGAGAGCGTTGACAAGAATGGCATCCACTTCGGTGCTGCCAGTGACGGTGACGGTGACCGTAACATGATCTACGGTGCCAACACCTTCGTCTCCCCCGGTGACAGTCTGGCCATCATTGCCCACCACGCCAAGCTCATCCCCTACTTCCAGAAGCAGGGTGTCTACGGCCTGGCGCGCTCCATGCCCACCTCCGGTGCCGTCGACCGCGTGGCTAAGGCCCAGGGCCTGCAGAGCTACGAGGTGCCCACGGGCTGGAAGTTCTTCTGCAACCTGTTCGACAACCAGAAGATCTCCATCTGTGGTGAGGAGAGTTTCGGTACTGGCAGCAACCACATCCGCGAGAAGGACGGCCTGTGGGCTATCGTGGCCTGGCTGAACGTCATCGCTGGCGTTGCCAAGCAGAAGCCCAGCGAGACCCCCAGCATCGCTTCCATCCAGAACGAGTTCTGGCAGACCTACGGCCGTACCTTCTTCACCCGGTACGACTACGAGAACGTCGACAGCGACGGCGCCAACAAGGTGATCGCCACCCTGTCGGAGAAGGTCGACAACAAGGACACCTTCGTTGGCTCGACCGTGTCCGGCCGCAAGGTCGTCGACGTCGGCAACTTCGCCTACACCGACCTGGACGGCAGCGTGACCAAGAACCAGGGTCTGTACGTCAAGTTCGATGACGGCAGCCGCATCGTCGTCCGTCTGTCCGGCACTGGCAGCAGCGGCGCCACGATCCGTCTGTACATTGAGAAGTACGAGAGCGACGCCAGCAAGCTTGGCCTCGCCACGGACGAGTACCTGAAAGACAACGTGGCTCTGGCTCTGGAGCTGCTTAAGTTCAAGGAGTACATTGGCCGTGAGGAGCCTGATGTCCGCACATAAGCAAAGAGCATGATTGATGTTCATAGCGTTTTTTGAGTAGTTAATAAGGAATAATCAGTATATTTTTCTTTCATATAAACGTATCATCCTATCTTATCCTATTCTCCATCCTTAAGACAATCAATCAATATATATTTGAACCCTGTCCATAAACCCCAAACCGCAAAAGCATCATAAAACAGATCATGTTCTCATAACATCATAACCAATAACACATCATTACAAAGTACTACAAACCCACCCCCTTAACCTTACCTCCCCACCACTCCCCCCACTTAACCACCACCTCCTCCCTCCTGGCCTCCTCCGCCGCAAACACCACCGCATGACTCCTAACCGCCTCCTCCAAATCACACCCAACAAACCTCCTCTGCGCCTCCGCCACCCCCCACCCCTTATTAACCACCGCATCCACCGCATCCACAAAGCTCCTCGCCAGCCCATAATCCCCTCCGCCATGCGCCTTCTCCTCCTCCGCCGGCCTCTTCGGCACCGTAATCGTCGTAGTCTCCCTCGTCTGGAACGAATAGATGGTGATCGTGCGACTATCGTAGCTGATTTCGCCCAGCGTGCCGTATACACGGCCGCGTCGCTCGCATTGCTTTTCGGTGGGGGCGATCATATGGAATAAGGCAGTTCTGGGTGGGTCGGACGAGAAGGTTATCGTTACGGTTTGGTCGTCGCAGACGTTGTTGTCGGATTCGTAGACGCAGCGGCCGTACCACGGGCGGGAGTGGATGGGGTCGTTTTCGTCTTTGGTGGAGGTTTGATCGTAGTCTTCGCGGAGACGGGTGAGAAGGTGGGATTGAGCGAGGGGGATGTGTTCGGTGGGGATGGGGTCGGACTTGTTGATTCTAGGGGTGGTAGTGGTTGTTGCTTTGGGGAGGATATCTTCGATGTCTTCGCAGACGATGTTTACGGGCCAGTCTATGTCGCCTTTGGCGACGTGCATGTCATTGTAGATTCGGACGGCGCTGTAGATGCAGTCTCGTTCTGCGGGGCAGGAGAGACAGTTTGTTGCGGTGCCTGCGGCGGGGGGTTTTTGGGATTTGCGGAATTGGGTTAAGGAGCCGGTGGAGGTGATGGTTCGGGGGTGGATGGGTTGTTGTTGAGAGATTGGGTCTGAGGAGGGGGCAGGGCTGGAGAGTAACCACATGATGAAGTCAATGTCGTGGCAGGATTTGGTTAGTAGGGAGCCGTCCCCGTTGGGGGTTTCTCGACGCCAGTTGCCGCGGACATAGCTGTGCGAGAAGTGCCAGAAGCCGACGGGTTCGGTGTGTTCGAGGGAGACAATGTCGCCGATGACGCGGTCGAGAAGGAGGAGTTTGCGGAGGAGGATGTTGTGGGGGCTGTAGCGGAGGACGTGGCCGATCGAGAAGATGTTGGTGGAGAGGTTGGGGGTGAGGGCACGGTAGACGGATAGGCAGTCTTCTAGAGATAGGGCGAGAGGCTTCTCGCAGAGAATGTGGAGTTGGAGAGGGGCGATGGCGTGGAGGATCTCGACGTGGGTGGAGTCAAGGGTGCAGATGAAGACCCCGTCGACACCGACCCGGGGGTCATTATTGGTTTCTCGGCGCTGTTGCTCCCATTGTAACCAGGCGCGCCAGTCGGGGAATTCCTGGCCGTCTTGGGGAGTGCCGTGTTCGCCCCAGATGTAGGAGCGGCCGAGGTGTCGGCGCTTGAAGGGGTGTGGTTCGGCGACGGCGTGGATGGTGCCTTGAGTAGCGGTGGTGACAGCACGGGCGTAGGCGGTGCCACGAGATCCGGCGCCAATTATGAGGAAGCGGAGAGGGCGGGGGGAGGGGGAATGAGGGAGAGAAGTCGTTGGAATGACGGGTTCTTTCATGATGAGTTCGGGGAATGGAAGTGGAAGTAGGAGAGGGGCAATGAGGGGAGAATGAGGGGATATAGTATTAGACTAAATACAAATGCAAGGGATCGCCGGGTGCGGATGATAAAGCCGCGTCGCTGGTTGGTTGGTGGCATCTTATGTCATCGGCTGATAACAACAGGCCTCACATGTATTAATCACGACGCTGTTGCAATGGAAGGTAGAGTACCAAATTAGACTTGGCTAGTAGACATAGACATTATTCACATCGTAATTATCAGTAGATTAGCACAAAACCCTCACAAATGGCACGAACATGCAAAGAAAATGAATTGGGGTATCCATAAGAAACAGGCTAGCAAGTAGTACAGAATCCAGACATGATGACCATCGCCAGTCCGGGAACACCACCCGGAAACCCTATGTATAACTCCTCCACGTATGTACAGAGCACCAGTATATACCCTCATCTCCCCGGAGAACCTTTCATATACTCTCCGTAAACCGACTGCCCCGACTGCCATCGAAGCTCGGGTGGCTTCGCCCGAGCGCATCAGGCCGCTTGGGCATTGTCGGGGAGAGCGCTCCGACTTGCGAAACGACCCGTGGCCCGGTTGGCTCATTGGACAGACTAGCGTTGGCGGACCCGGTAACTGGTGTACGGGCTGGCGATGGTCGAAACACCACAACACCTCCCACCTCCGCCGCTTCTCGAGTATAGCTGGTATCCAACGGCATGCCATACGGTGTCGCCACGGGCGGTTGTGTTGGCGGTGACCGTGGCTGAACTGGTGAGCTCGGAGAAAAAAGCGTGCTCGGTTCAGACGCAGTAGGGGATCCTGGTTCATATCCACCGCCGTAACCGTCCCCTCCTGACTGCAGCACTGAAGGAATTTTCCGGCCGGAGATCTTTTGGAACCCACGCTCGCTAGGCTCTGAGCTTAAAGTACTGTCTGTGCGCGTCGTCATGTGCGACTGGCGCCATCGCTTCATGAAAGCCGGCGCAAAGTATGACGCAGTAAACAAGGGGTCGTCGCTAGACCGCCGCGAGGTCATCTCTGCCGAGCGCGGGAGAGAGCCTTCGGCTGTCCCGGTCGTGTCAGGCTCGGGGAGAGCGTCCCCAGATGGGGGCAGGATGTTTTTCTTGCGGCGGCGGAGCAGCCAGACAACAATTACGAACACGAACATAGCAGCAGCCACACCACCAACCACACCACCGGCTATCTTGCCTTTAGTTTGGCTGCTCAGGGAGCCCGAGCCCGAGCCCGAGCCGGAGCTGGAGCCGGAGCTGGAGCTGCCTGAAGAGGATGAAGGCGAGACACCTTGTCCGGTGGCAGTTGCCCCTGATCCTCCGTCCCCTCCATTCGAGGCCGTGCCCCAAGCTCCGTAGAGCGAAGTGGTGGAAGTAGAATCCAATGAGAAGGTGGATGTCGTGGCGGAGATCGTCTGAGTCACGGAGGAAGTCGTCGTAGATTGTGAACCGGATCCGAACACCCAAGCAGAGCTTGAGCCAGTCACTTGGCTAGGGTTTTGTGTGCCACTTGGACCAGAGCTGGACAATGCGCTTGATGGTTGGGGGTGTGCCGAAGAAGGAAGCGCAGTTGCAGTAGAGCCAAATAGCGGAGTGGACGTCTTCGAAGCGGCGGGCGCCGATGACGGTGGGGCGGATGAGGACGGTTCAGGCGTACTTGTTACTGCCGGTGTGTCTGCGGTCGGAGAAGAATACGCAGGTGAGGCAGTCAGGGATAGATCAACCGAAACTGTGGCAGAAAGCGACAGGAGCAATGAGTCAGTGTCTGTTGACGAGCCTGTAGTCGCGGGAACGGTCGACTCTTCTGATATCGTTGTCGGTGCAGTAGCCGAAGTGCCGGTGCTAGTCTGCGAATTGCTGTCGACCACGTTGATGATAGTCGCAGACACCGTAGCCTGATCCCCCGTGGCTGTGTCTGATTGTTGGCGCTTCTCGAGGGACAATCCCTGACTGTCGTGCACATCCTGTGCCTGCATCACCAGGTCCAGGGTTAGCTCACCCTCCATCCCATTTCCAACCGTCTGTTGCGGTATGATTGTCGGCGTCGCGGAGTTTTCTGGACTCTTCCCAGTTTCGCTAAAGTATGCAGAATCCAATTGATATTTCTTCCGCATTACTCTGTTGAACCGAGCGTGTCCTGTGCCATGATGGGCCATCCTGATAACATCCACGTCTGGCCGAAATATCCTGTGTATGTGCTGAAGTGCGGCGACTGCTGACCGCAGCTTCGCAAACTCGAAAGAATGGTGAGAGAAGTGATCTCGAAATGAAAGCGAAGGACTGTGAAGCGAAGGGAAGTGTCTGCCTGCACGACACGAATTTTGACGGCAAAGGAGCGCGGTGATTAAGTCGATCGAAGGCGACTGTAGTAAAGTCGAACACAAGGAGCGTAAAGAAAGAGACGATAGTCAACTTTTGAGTGATGGTAAAAGAAAGGCGGCAAAGGCGAATAATACTAAATCAATTGTCGAAAGAGTGACTGCGGTAGAGTTGAGCGGATGAGAGCTTCCACGTCTAATAGAAGCCTCGAAATCGTAGCGAATACCAATGAGTGGACGTCGGCTGGGATATACAGCCGACAAGTATCAAATAATTAGAGAAAGAAAAATGACCGAAAGGCATCAACAGAGATCTATTCGCCAGGGTAAGGAACCCGTCAGCATCGAGCAACATCATCCTATCATCCAGCACTCAACCCATACAATCGCAAGTCGAATCACATACCTGCAAGAACGAAAGGACAGAAAAGAAAGAAAACACGGCGACTATTTTCTTTTTTGCTTTTTCTTTAAACCGAACTATCCGTTTTCGAGCTTCGCAGGTGGTTATATCTCAAGCGCCCCTCGAGTCCTAATCCATAATTGCCGCACAAGCAAGTGTACTGAGTGAAACGTGCACGTCGGTCGAAGAGATTAATATCACCACCCTTTCCCTTTCCCTCAGGGCCCGTCAGGTACGAGGTGGTGATTACTGGATGGATATGTATGCCGTTCCCACAATTGACCCTCCAACCGGGACGAGGATCCACGTCTAGACCAAGGTTCCGGCCTCGGGATTGCTACCACTCTTGCTTCACCTTCTTGGTTCACCCAGGAAACTTTGGCGTGGTTCGATTGGGTCCTTTACGGCATCAATTCACACCGAACGGGATTTACCGCCCGCTCACAAGTTGACGGGTGCTGAGATGAGTGAAGTGCGTGGGCGAGTGATTCCCCGTCAACGAGATCCCGTCTGCTGCCTGCTTGCTACCTCCGGGGAGACTTAGGGGAGAACCGAAAAGGGAAGAAAGGAAAAAGAAGGTGAAAAGAAGGCAAAGAGGGGAGGAGGGGGGTGAGAGGGAAAAAAGGTAAGAGGTTAGGGTAAAGAAGACGGTGATCGAAGGTGGTGAGAAGAGGAGGAGGAGGGGGGGGGGAGAGTAGCAGCAAAGTCTAGGGAAGAGAAAGAAAGAATGGAAAGGGAAGGGAAGCGAGCGAAAGAGCGACGGGGTCGAGACAAGCTAGACTAGTTAGTCGTTAGGCAGTCCGTCAGTCCGTCAGTCCGTCAGTCAGTACTAGTAGTAAGTGACCCGCGTGGGAGAGCATCGATCAGGCCAGGCCTAAGAATAACAACCGTCTGGTCTTAGACCTGCAGCGTCACTAAGGCACAGTGGGTGCGGTTACCGACCCATCCCGGTTATGGACTTAGTACCACTTCAATACGGCCGAGTATGCCCAAATGAGCGTGTTCTTTTGCCAGGAAATTTTTTTCTTCTTTTCTGCTTTCCCTCGCCCCATTTGGGATCACGTAAGTGAGAAGAGATTAGTTATAATGATAGTGAGATCATTCCTTCTGCTGACGGCAAAACGGGAATTATACCCGACCGCAAAAATGTCATGATTTGCTTGCCGAGCTGCAGCTCCTATGTACCCCATCCGGAGAGAGTGGGCAGCAGCCGCAGCGCTCATCCTTGTCGTTGGTACGTGATAATCCATCCCTACCTACATATACATATGTCTGGGAGTCCGTGGATGGACAATTGCTTTTTCTCTGGTTTGCGCAGACCAGCTCGCTTGGGGATCCGTCAATACACACGAATTCTCGTACGGCAGATACAGTACGATAGACTCGACCCAATTTGGGGAAAGACATGGATTGCTCTTCGTCATTGGTCCGGGGCGCTGTCCGAAAGGGGGGAAGCCAAGCCTGAGTTTAATAAAACGCCGGGCGCTAAGTTTCATTAGATGTTTGTTTACGCCGGACACACAATCTAACTAGACCACGCCTGTTAATTAGAGACCCGGCTGCAATATCATCCAAGTGCCTATCATATCTCATCATCCACGGTTCTGTCCCGTGTCAAAGGCCGTCTAATCAGGACTATCTACAGCAGGTAGACAGACGACCTAACCCCGTGGTGGTCTAGTTTTCACACCGAGCAATCCTGCATACAAGTTTGACCTCGCAGACAGACAGGGGGCCAACAACCAAAATTCTCGTTACTAGTTCACATAGCAATCCTGTCCGTTGCTGATGCTGCATGCGCTAGCAGGGAGCAAACAAGACATCACCAATACCAATTCACAACCCAAAAACTCACAGAAAGCAGGTAGATACGGCAGGATTTCGACCCCATGAGGCCACCAAAACAACAAGACAACATCCACACCCACACACGGGATCCATCATCTAATCGAGAACGCGATTCATTAATCCACATCACGAAGGAAAAAGTCCATCTAGAGTCTAGACACAGACACCCACAACGTCCCGAAGTTCTTCCTAGGTCCCACGCAATGATGCAAGGGACTCACTCCCTAACGACTTTCTAAGGCTTTAGCCGCTGCGATGTCACCACTCACCACTCACTCTGCAAGGTACGCCCCATCTGAATCACTCTCATCCACAAGCGACGATGGATCGTCGCTATCGAGATGAACAGGGACTAGTCGAGTCATGCAAGAGGATGCACTCCATAAGCTCAACTCAGTTAGCTAGTATCAGATCCTAGCAGTAGATACCTGAGTCAGCTTATAATCTCTCCCCAAGACAAAAAAGGGAAGTAAAGAAAAAAGAAAAAAGGAGAATATTGGTGACTAGGCAGACAAACAGAATTGGCTGCGGTTTTGATACACGTATACGTACGTATGTCTCTTTTCCGTGTCTCAGAGCCCCACCTCACTCTTTAGAACCCGCTATTTATATCGCAGCCCGGCCGGCTCCTGTCATGTTCATCTCCCGTCCGGCCATCGAGAACAATCTTGGAAGCTTCGAGGAATGTTCATCATTGCTACTGGAAGATCTCGGGGAGTAAAATGCTTAGAACTGAATTAATCATGTGACATGTAGGACGTGATTTGCATTTCTCACTATATGCAAAAAAATCATGATCAATCTGACACAGTACCTAAGTGATCGACATTCTCGTCATTCAAGATCCTAGCATATATCTACATCAAAGAACATCAAGCAAAGACATTTAACATTCCTCAATCACTTATCGACAATCATCATGCTAAAAGCTCTGATGGTCATAGATTTATCTCCCCTAAGAACTATTCACATGACCCCTTCGTATGCTGCTCCCATGACTACCAGACATCGTCACCTTGTAGAAGCTAAAACAATAAACGAAATAAATTGCTCTCAAAATGAATGACTAGCAATATAGTCCCTCACTAAGCTCTCAAACCACCATATGATTCAAGCAGAGTTATCTAATCAACCATTTATTACTATCCCTTTCATCTAAAACCCCCCTATCTGCATCTCTCCTCTCCCCGCAATATTTCGAAACATCCAACATACCCATAATACCACCTGACATAGTATAGATGGCACAAAGTGGTACTAGGTACTATGAAGAATATAAATCTGCATTGCGCATCACGCAGCCCCCAACTTCAGGTTCTTCTCTCTAAAATCGACACCACACACACACACACACACACACACACAAATCCCAAGACCAGATTCATATTTCCAATGAGAACACATCATGTCGTATCATATTGACACATTGTGGGCATGTCTCACTATCATGCCATGTCGGGCCCTCATATATATTACTGTAGTGAATATCAATTGGACCAGACCAGGCTGATGTAACTGAACGGCTGGATGGATTGTAGTGTGGGATAACTTTGAATATTGAATCTGATATACTAATGTAAATATATTGAACATTGGATACTAGTAGTAACCAGAATCGTGTGACGGAAGCTGTTGCCGGTAGTTTAGTCGTGGCGTGTTTGATGTAGCGAGTGTAGGATTGTCTGGTTCTATGTTGGAGCAACGAAGAGCAATAATGCATATGATTCACTCATACAAGAGTTGTTTATCAAGTAGTATGCTCAAGATTAAGGGACCATTGATCGACAGTTTACTGCATCAGGATTAGTCTGCCGACGGGAACGGCGCTTTGCGTATGTCGACTGCACTTAATTCATTCCACATATTGGAATACCTTTCTATCAGTATCAATGCAGGCTAGAGAAGAGAGAGGAAGAAAGAACATGGGAATGGAACCTGCTTCCAACTACCTGTCGAGACAGAGAAGAAAGAAAAAGACTGTGTCACAACTATACAAAGGGTCTGCATCTCGCCAGCCACTCTCCTTGCTTTTTCACTCCTCAACCCCTCACCCTACTCGCATGTCTGACCAACGGTCTAAACAGAAGGAAAACTAGTTAAAGACATAGAGACGCCGTAAGACGACTGACGAACGCTTGTGCTACACATGAAGGGGTATTAATAATGGGACGAACATTATTAGGTATGAACTTAGAAGGTCTCAAGTTCATCCGCCCCAGCCTCCGCTTCGGGAATCTCGAATCCCTCCTGCAACACATGTTAACCTCGGATCCGGGAATGAGAAGCCTCCTTGACAGGCAGCAAAAGAGGTCCGGCTAGTGTGGAATCATACCTCCGTCGAGTACAGAATGCCCTGGATGTGCTTCACCAGGGAGTCATCATCCTTTTCGAGCTCCGGATCGGCCTCGATGGCGCTCTGCAGAAGCAATTCGATGTCACGCAGCTTGGCAAAGTAGAAATCCCTCTCCTTCTCCAAGCCAGCAATAGCCTCCTTTTGCGTAGCAATCTCCTGCTGCAGCGCAGAAACATTGGCAGCGCTTGCGGCACCAGCGACACGGGGGCGGGCGGCGCCAATGGTAGGCGTAGT